CCCCCACCCACCTCCCGAAGTTCACTTTTTATTGCAGATTCGCGGTCCTCTAGGGTAGCGCAGCACAACCCCGCCTTCAAAAAAAAAATAAAAAAATTCCTTGCTGTGTTTTTGCGTCGCCCGGTTTCGCCGGCCGGACCCCCCCGGGCCCGCCCGGCCGGGAGGCGGCCCAGCTTAGCTTTTCTCTCTTTTGTCCTCTCCTTTTTCTCTCCCTGTGGAGATGGTGGCAATAGGATGGCCCTTTCAGGTTGGCAGGGTTCCATGCCAATAGCCCTGGGTATAGTTCCTTCGCCAATAGCCCTGGCCCCTGGGTATAGCTCCCTCTCCAATGGCCCTGGGTATAGCTCCCTCGCCACTACCGTCTTCACCTGAATAAAACGTGCTGTCATTATAGCTGTATTTCGGCCAACGTTGAGTCTACATACAGCAATAATGACTGCACATTGTGTTCGGGTGAAGACGGTATAGCTCCCTCGCCAATAGCCGTGGGTAGAGCTCCCGGCCAAAGTCGTACAGGTGGGCATGCAGAGTGGTGGTCCTTTGAGGCACTTGGTAATGATAGGAATTCGGTGAAAGGACTGCTGAGACTGATGGACGGTGTGTCCCTGTTTTTGACCTACAGAGTGGGCGATGCAGGGTCTCTGACAAAAGCGAACGCAATCGGATGGAAGTTGGGATCCTGTTACCAGTCTAACCTGACACTAAAGAAGACGGATGATGGGACCGGTACCGGGGACTTTCTCAGGTGCCATATGAGGGTGAGAAAGCAGTACCCGTTTCTACGCTCGGTACAGGGCATAAGAAATGAAGAGGCACTGTGGAACAACGGGCCTTCGGATATTAGGTGCGGACAGGATTACAGCTCGTGGTCCAGTCGACAGAACAAGTGGGCGGCGTTGGTAGGTTGTTCCCACAGGACAGATCGGAACACGGCGGTTTGGTCAGAGGTCCCGCGACAGTTCCGTTCAGTCCTGGCACTGCGGAAAGACTGCCGCAGGAAGAGGGTACCCGACAAGCAGTTTGCGTCTGCTTTGGAGATTTTTCCCCGCACTGCCGGCCGGTTTTGGGAATCGGTGTCAGCAGTAGTTCGGTTATGTTGAAAGCGTCGATATTTACCGCAGTTGTATAAGTAGGATGTTAAACCACCCAGCCATTTTCTCAGATGCAGCGTTCATGCGGCTGCAGGATTCGGGCTTGAGCAACCAGAGGAAAATGGCTGATAGTGCCAGCCAAAAGAAGACCCGTGTCGATCCATTTTTATTGGGCGTGCACCGCACAGTGTGTTTCGAGGCACGGCGAGGGGATGGTTAAAAGTACTGGTGGTTTAATGACTGCGGCAATCCTCTAAGTCGAGCAGAAACCACTGGCGGTTAAACAGAGGATACCGCTGGGATGGATCCATGGGAGAAAAAGTGTGTTCTCACGAGAAGAGAGGCGGTCTGCTGATGATGCTCTTTTCC